TTTGGTGGGTCCCCTCCCCCCATGGCTCCTCTTTGGTCTAGGCACATACAGGACAATAGTTCAAGAGCATAATTAAATGTTCTTGAATCCTCACTCTTTGCAATATTATCCATAATTTATTATGAGTCACATAAGTTCATTCCTTTCCATAATCAACAGAACACATACATGTAAACGTCATTCTGATGTTTTCTGCTTTCAACCAAGATCCATCCGACATCAGCAGTGAGTTCTCTGATTCTATGTCTTCTACTGAATCTAGCTTCACTTTCTTGCAGTTCCTGCTTATGGACTTCTCCAGCTCTTTTTAAAGCAACATCAGCAAGATTTTACTTGGATAGTATATTAATGATATTGACCTTTGATGACTGAATTCTGTTGCATCACCTTTTTTTTTTGAATGCTCACACACATGGATCTCTTCTATGTTATAAATATGGATCATTTGGCCAGGTAGACAGATATCTTCTAAATTTCTTGTCATAAAGATGAACACCTCCAGTGCTGTTATCTATTTGTTGAAACATCTCACTTTTTATCCTCTTAATTCTCAGAGCCTTGGTTTCTATTAATAATTTCAGTGCAACTTGGACCTCTTCCTTTAATACCATTGTCTCTTAATCATTTGTTTCTTCTGGAAACGGCTGAGCATGAACCAATTCTTTTTGATACAGTGACGAGGTATTCCTTTTATTTTCTTCTGATGTTTTCTATGTCAGGCAGTGTTTTGCCCATAGAATTCTTCATTACTGAAACTTGTGGCTTGGATTGTTTTTCTTTCAAGTGTGTTCTTCCTTCTAGGTTTCCTAGTTCCAGGACTTTTTATTTGACCTTCTGGCATCTTCTATTTAGCTATCTTATTTAAAATACCTTTCCTTCACTTTAGTAATAGTAGTGAAGTAATTTAACTAAGATAGTTGATAAGTGAATAACTAGTAAAACGTGTGTAGGGATCTGAAGGTTGAAAGGGTGGGAGGAGAGCGATAAAGATGGGCAGGGGTGAAATCACAGGGTCTCGCAATTTGGTGGGCGGAGGGAGGGAATAAAGGAAATGGGAAAGACCGGGGTGGAATCTGGAAATACGGGTAATGGTGGACATAGTTCAAAGGTGATTAATTTTTAAAAACACAATGAATGGAAATGGTTTTATAAAGTACAATGTGAGAGAAAGATGGGGTGAAACACAATGCATATGAACTTTGTATGAAAACTAATATAAAACAAAATATAT